TGAAATTCTTCTTTACTTTCTCTATTCTAAAGCTGTCACAGCACTGTTTAGATTCTATCATTAATTACTTAGAAGAGATCTTATTAATCTTTTTCTCATAGTATTAATTATTTAAATAGATTTAGAAAGTTAAGTTAATAAGCTTAGTATAATTAATTAATAAACTCTGATACTATTATTATTATTATTATTCTTTCATTATACTCATATGCAAGCGGAGCTTATGATGAGTCCTTGCGTGATGTTAAATACAGGCCAAGTGTTGATTATACAGAAGGAAATACAGGTGTTAAGACCACATCAAGATAACAAGAACATAGGAAATACAAAGGAGTGACAATTAGATACATGCGATAATAACTTCCCAGCCCAGGAACATAGAGCGATTTTATTGAAGCGATTTGTACACCTCTGTATTTATTAGAAACCTGAGGTGCTTGAGTTCCGGATTTAATGTATTCCCTGCGGGTTTCGAACCCACACACCTTGGTTTCCCACGTCAAGGCGCTACCGGGTGGCCGCATTAACCATTCGGCCACCGGGGCATAAACTCTGATACTATAATATTATTATTTACATCTTATAAGTCAGCTTTGTAAGATAAAGCTATATCTTTAATTAATTCAAATTATCAGTTAATTTCTCTTAATATTCTTCAAAACTTGTATTGTAATTGAAAGAATTCTTATTATCTTATTAATGTAATAAGTTGAACTGCTGTGTCACTGTAAAGCTGTAGTTATAATAATCTTCAATCTGATTCAGTAGAAAGTTTTTGAATTCTTCTCAAGTTATAATAGTATTGATATACTTAAGCTTTCTCTTCTTAATAGTTCAAGTAGTTGCAGAGATGTCTTCAAGAAGGTTAACAGTGTATATAACTTATATCTTATAAGTATTAAACTGGCTCAGATTAAGGTGAAATTTCTGTTTAAGAATATAAGTGAAGTTGTGAAATTCAGATAATATATTTCTCTTATAATTCAGAGAATTTTCAATCTTAATCTCTCTATCTTTATAATAGATATAGATGTGTAGAGGCTGCAGTGATGATAGAGCAGTTAAAGATATTATACTAAAGTATACAGCAGGTTCAGAAATCTCAGATTTCTGTCAGAGTAGAGATGTACACACTCTAGAGAATGATATAAAGTTTTCTTCAAAGAGTGAGATCAGATCAGTTTCAGCATAGATATATAGAGTTATATTAGTTTATTAATAGAGCTCAACTGATTCAAACTTATAATCAGATTAAGTAATTTGAATTGTAATATAATAGAACTAAAGCAGTGACTAGTCAGCAGTGTTATATAGAGATAGTTATATAAGAAGCTGTAGAGATGAGCTTGACTATTTTACTTAAATAGTAAGCTTATAAGTTACAGAATTATTGTCAGAATATCACAGATATAATACTTAATATATTAAGAAGATTGTATAAGAAATGCAGTAACTCTTATATATATCTCTGTCAGAGATAAAAATAAATCACTGACTTCTTTAATAAGAAGTCAGTATCTAGTTATTCTATATAGACAATGAGCAGATACTCTTCTCTTATTTCATAAATAAGAATAGTCAGAGTGATACCTTAGCAGTGTCTTACTACTATAAAAGAGTAATCTGCTGATCTTATATAGAAGTGAGATTATTATATTTATCAATCAGATCTTTCTATATTATATTTAAATAATGTCATAGAGTAATTGAAAACCAGTTTGAACAGCCTGCAGAATGAATGAAATCATTCACAGAGAAGTGATAAGCTGTGTGAAACTGCAGCAGAGTCTTGACACGGTCAGAGGCGTGATAATACTGATTTCTTTATTATCTCATCTTTATCTTAATTATCTGCAGTTCTTTTAAAACAGCTTCTGATAGATGACTGACATCATTAACTTGATTATATCAGTGAAAATAGTATATTAAAAATAATCAGAAACCTGTGATTTAATATTATTATTATCAGTCTGAAAAAAATTATCATTCTGTTTCACATGTGTTCAGACTGAATAGAAACATGCTTTCTACAAGAATTTCACATCATATCATATTATCTACAAGGTTTTGAAGATTTGAGTGAATATATTTAATAATGATAAGACTCTTGAAACTGAAAATGTATTATCTTACACTGATAAGAAGCTTGCAATGATGATTACAGACAATATCATCTAAGTGAGATGAATATTTCTATTGAAATGAAAAGATAAGATGTTGAGATATCTATAGATCTTCAATTAATTTATCAAGAATCTACTGAAATGTAGCATTGCAATTATTCACTCAGACTGTGAAGAATTGAATTTGAATACAGTTATAGTATATATAGTCAGTGAAGAAATAAAGTAAGAGCTGACTCTCTCTCATACTTTACAGTAAGATGAAGTATCTGAATAATTAATTAATTTAATCATTGAGAAGTTCTGATCACTATTAATAGACTCTTCAGCTTTAGAAAAGATGTAAGATGAGACAGTTATTATAGTCACAGAGCTGCTTAATCTTATGTCAATCTTAATAATATTATATAAGCACTCTGAAAATACAAAGCTGATTACACTGTATGAGATCTGACTTGAAGCTCTATCTTCTGCACACGGCATTTATCAATGAGATTGCAAAGCATTCTTGAAGATAGTTCTCAAGCTTATTAATAAGATGACTTTCTGTTTCAAAGAGTTGATTTTTGCAGAATATGATGATTTTATTAATTATAGATTAATGAACCTCTTCAACAGATGTTTATACATATCAAAAGATGTCATCTTTCAGAAGAATCTTTATCTTGTCAATTCATTGATACTGACTACACACAATCTGAAGGTTCTACTTAATGCGGTCTGTAAAGTGACTCTGATGATTTCTTCAGTAATATCAGGTCTACTCACTGCAACAATTTCTGCAATGATTCCCGCAGTAATTTCTGATTCATCAATTGATGATATGTTCATTGATTAGAAAATGGAACCTAAGTGTTCATTATTTCTCATATTTACTAATAATTAGTGAATTGACTATGATATCTCCGCGAGAATACCTATCTTTTTAGTGCAGAATACACTGAACTTCTCAGAACTTACAGTTGAATCTGATGATTCTCTGACATCTACAAGAAATATCACTACAGTGAGAAAATCTTCAGTGAGAAACAGTCTTGAAGATCTAATGTAATTAATCATCTAACGCTTGTTTCCACCTAACGCTCACCTTTGTAAATCAATTACAATCAACTTTGAATGTTAATATCTCAATAAATATTCATTATTTTATTTTTTTAATTTGTAATCTATAAATATCAAGACTTATAGTATAATATAATTCAAAATGATTATAATATAGTTAGAATTGATTAAAATATAGATTCAATTAGAAAATAAAATACAGTAAAATAAAATATATAATATTTTATTGTAAATTAAGAAATATATATTCATATATTATTAAAAATAATAATTCTTATATAAATATATTATAATTTAATAAATATTAAATTATTTTATATAAGAATTCTATATTTTAATTTTTAAGAATTCTTTTATTTTTTTATTATAATTCTTTTTATAAATTACAAGTAAAATATTAAAAATTCTTGAAATTTTAAATTTCGAAAAATAATTTATTAAATATTAATATATTTAAATAATTTGATATAATAATTTATTTAAATTACAATTTTAAAGTATAAATAATACATAGTTATTATAAAAATAATATTTTAAAATATAAAATTTTATATGATAATTTAAATAAATCAATAATAAATAAGAATTTCAAGATAAAATTTTATATTTTATTAAAAATATATATAATCTATAAGATATTTAATTTTTATATGAAAATAATTTATATTTATAAATATATTTATAAATATAGACTGTGTATTTTATTTTAAAATAGTATTTTAAAAAGCTTAATAAATTAATAATTATATATTATTTTCGTATAGAAATTTAATATAATATAATATATATCTACAAATTATTATTTTGTTTTTTAGAATGATTTTAAATAAATATTCATTGAGATATGAATATTTGAAGTTAATTGTAATTGATTTACAAAGGTAAGTGTTAGGTGAAAACAAGTGTTAGATGATTGATTATGTTACTTACTGATTTCAAGATCACTGTACTTTCAATTCTGAAAAACCTCACACACTGCTTAAAGTATATAGAGTTCTCATTTGCAAGAACAAGATATCTATCTGATATATTTCATCTGCTAAGAACATAGTGAATAAGCTTACTAAACTTCTTAAAACATTGAAATATACATGTTGAAAGAAGTAGACTGGCCGCCGCAATTATAAATTTCATGTTTAATTTCATTTGATCTGATCTCATACATTTCTTGATGTGAATCTCACTGAGACTAGTCATTAAAAAAACATGCAAAGTGACTATATATCAGATCTTAAAATGAAATCATGACTTGAAAAAAATAAGAAAGTAATCTCATTTAATCTCATTTAGTCTTATTCTTGATATAAAGTTACTATTTTTAGACATTTTAAGATTTTTTTTAGACTATTTTTAATTTTTTAAAAAGTAACACTTTTTAATAACACTTAAATGAGATTTAAAGTCATTTAAAGTAATAAAAATAATTTAAATTGAGAAGTGAAAATCATGATCTTATTTGAAAAATATAATAAGAGCAGACAGTAAGTCTCACTGAGATAGTATGAAACTACTATCTAATGTTAAAACTATGTAATGAGATCAGTCAAATTGATAATGAAACTATCAAAAAATCTGGTCCTGGTCCCAGACATGGTCACACGGTCAGTCTAGGAAGGAGAATATGAAGATGCTGGTTTTTCATTGCTACACATTTTCCAGTCATTTTTTGTACCTGTACTTGATTTGAAGGCGAATTTTGTATATAGCATTGTGTATAGTTACTCTGGTGAGTGGGGGTGTCAGGTCATGTGATCTGGCTTACTAATCCTTCCACCATATAACTTTTCACAAGCTACAATCACACAAGCTTTACACCTTCCACACATAGCGTATGATCTCTTATTTCCCGACACACTCATTCTAACTACTCCGTACTCTGCCTCCAGTTCAGCTAATGCTAACTAGCTAGCTTGCTTAATAAAGAATGACTCATCAATTTCATTGAACGTGTCCACAGGAGCTTAACTTTAATTTGACGTCAGGTCATATGATCAACATCAACTTCCTGTGAGCTGCCTTAGCGCATCATTACTTTGCCTATTGTGAATAGCAGTTTAACACTCTTCCATAAGCTCTCTGATGTATGGTGCGATTCATTTTTCCTATCTTTACTGCTCATCTAAATATGCTGTCAACTTGTCTAGTATTTTGACTGATAGTCTCCCATTTCCATTCATACCAGTTGCCTAAGCGCAGCTCTGAGCCGTCTCAACCATGGGCCTTCAACCGGCAGAAATAGATCCACATTTCACTGTGTTCATAAGGCTACCTTTTCCTAGAGGTGACTTTGTAGATACTCCTGCGGTATGTTCACTTGAAAATACCTTGCTCGCAATGTGTTCTGACTGTTGCTTCTAGGTCGACTGGAGTGTTGCCAAAGACCATGCCCTGTGGGATATCCTCTCACGGCCTTCGAAAGGCAATGATATTGACTGTCTGTAACATTCTCTGGTCGTCATTGTGTATTATATTTGCTGCCGCTCTAGCTGACTCTATGATTATCGACAGGGAAAGGATTGTACGCCTATTTCTGTGCTCTCGTACCTATCTAGTAATGAATCTAACAGCCTCTAGGGCAGAACATTTTGACGTGACTCTGCCGTTCCTTCTTCAACAAGCAGCATGGCTATATGATCGGCAGCTATCACAAGTTAGAGCTCAGATACGAAAGGTTGGAAACCCTCATTCTGCTGCAAGCTCGCCCGTGCCACAATCGATGTCCGGGAGTGCCGCCATAGGTGGGCAGCCAATGAAGAGAGTAGGGAGTAGTGGTACGTTATATTGACTACCAAGAAGTTCTTGTTTGCGTTTTTACTAACGGATCCACAGCTTCAAAAGACCTGTCAAAATTATCGATGCGCCAGAAGGAAGGACAAGTGGTTAAACAAGATCCCTGTTCACCTCCTACGCCAATTAAGTCCAAAGGTAAGCGCCTACAAACGAACCATCTTTACGATATGTTGATCTTGACTATTGCTTTACAGCTCTGTACCCAAATATTTCATCAATGAACCCCCCAATTCAGGCAACTGGCATGGGACTCCAATCACACCGACAGGCAGCACCACCTTATACAGATTCCATCACTCGTAATCAACCATCCTCAAAAAAGGAACTGCACACAGTTTCTTCGCCGCTTACATCACCCCCTTTGGATCAGGACATCTCGCCAGCCAGCTCATCGTCATCGTCATCTGATTCCGAAGAAGAAGCGACAACGAGAAGAGGTCCACCGTTCAAAAGATTTGGTAGATTTTCTGTCCATAGGGGAAGCAATAGTATTGACGAGGACGAAGAGGATTCGCCGGCGTTTTTACCTCTACGTACGCACCATAGCCAATCTACACAACAAATGGGGAATGGTACTAGTGCAACACTTCGACAGGAGCCAGAAGCAGCCAGCCATCCACATGCTCCTTCGACTGAAGCCACCGTGCCTTTGACCAGGATATCAGCACCAGAGTCTTCAGCTAGTTCAGGGAGCTCAGGACCCGCAAGCGGCACAGCAGCACACGAAAGAACCCAGCCCTCTCGCCACCCCACCGCTCTCAGTCCGAGGAGGGCTGCAGAATTAGCTCGACTGGGTCCACGCCGACGGGCAGCTGGCCGAGAGGGAAGTGATGGGACCCCTAGCATGGGTAGTAGCTTTAGCGATTTGGATGGTACGCTGCTTCCCCAAACCAATGAATATCACCCCATTGTACCCTTCCGGTTTAGTCACTAACTTACAATGCGCAGACGCCAGTTTAACACAATCTGCACTCGAAGAAGCACTCCTAAGCACAATGCAACGCGGCGGGGTTGCAAGCAGGATGAGTACTATCAGCCAGGCCCTCAAAAGCCGATATTTGTAATACGCCTAGAATCGGACCGTTACATTGCTACATAGACTAGCCTCTATTCTATTAGATTTTAGATAGGGTTCTGACTAAATAGTTAAAGAAGAAAATATTTACCTCGAAATTGATGGTGAAAACCGAATATCACGTGACATTAAGAGTGAGGCTTGCGATGACATCATCCGCCTTTTCGATTCCCGAGGCAAACTGTGTTTCAGCTCCAGAACGCAAACCAGGAAAGGTTGAAACGGACAACCGAGACACTGAGGGGCTCAATCAGGGTTCCCCGCCTATAACATAGCAAAGAGACTGCGATCCAACTCGTATCGGCCACATTGGAGTTGAAACCGTTCAACTGACGGTGATATACCAGGCCTAACCCTCCTTCCGCTGCCCCGTGCCCCTCCTTTAAAAGAAATACCACTCCAGCAGTTTGAAATCGGTTCGGCTACATGTGGTGAATATTTTAGCCGTGTAACAACAACCCGAAAGAGAGATAATTCTCAATCTTTCCCTGCAGGACAAAGAAAGCACTGCCCGCGAATTGGAGAGCACTAAATACGTGTGGTCTTTGTCCCTCGATTAACTGGAAGCTCTGGACGGATTTCTTGGCACCGCCATAACCGTATACCTAATACGGAGTAAAGAGCTGCTTAAAAGGAGACGCCTTTTGAGGACATAGAAATTTACTTCACTGTTCGATTTACGAGCACCTACATTGTGAAATCGATTCATTAGTCGTTTCTCCTGCCGTTTCCCCAAATACGTACAAAAATGCCATTCCCAAGTGCCAAGGTAGAAAATGTCCCACCGACGCTCACGCCCGAGCCTGACTATTTCAAAACCAATCCTCCACCTCGTGATCTCCAAGAGCATGCTACGCAGGCCCAGGAGTTTGTAAACCTCCATCTAGTGGCAAACAGACGGGTGGTTCTGGTCACATCCGGCGGGACTACCGTGCCCCTCGAAACCCAAACGGTGCGTTTCATCGACAATTTCTCTGCAGGCACACGAGGTGCCACATCAGCTGAATACTTCCTCCAAGAAGGCTACGCAGTGATATTCTTGCATCGTCAATTCAGCCTCCTCCCGTACTCGCGCCACTACAGCCACTCGACAAACTGCTTCCTAGATTTCATGGACGAGGCCGTCGCGCCACCCTCATCGTCTCCCGGCCATGATGAAAATAGCCCGGACCACGGTGCCGTAGTTGTCCGCCCAGAGTACCAGGACGAAATGCGCAAAGTGCTTCGCCAGTACCGCCACGCGAAGCAGAACCAACTCCTCCTGCTTATCCCCTTCGTGACAGTGACGGAGTATCTGTACGAGTTACGCTCCCTTGCCACAATCATGCGACCCTTGGGCGCCAATGCGCTCTTCTACCTCGCTGCGGCGGTTTCAGACTTCTTCATCCCACGCGACCGCATGGTAGAGCACAAGATCCAATCTTCAAACGAAGTCACCACGCCCTCTTCCCAACCCACACAAGGCCACAGCGTCATCCCAGCCGACCGGATCTACACAGGTTTCAATGACCCACAGCCACCAACGCACGGCAAGAAACTGATCGTCGACCTGGACCCGGTCCCCAAATTCCTCCACAGCCTCGTTAACGGCTGGGCACCACAGGGCAGCATGGTCGTCAGCTTCAAACTTGAAACAGACCCGTCGCTGCTGATTTCCAAGTCCGAGCAGGCACTGAATCGCTACTCGCATCACCTCGTCATTGGCAATTTGCTCTCGACGCGCAAGTGGGAGGTTGTGTTTGTTGCTCGGGGCGCGGATGGGAAGATTTCCGAGCACTGGTTGCGGATCCCGAAGACGGCGGCGGCGGCGCCACAGAGTGGTTCAAGGAGGTTGAGTTGGAATGTAGTCCAACCACATCAACAAAATTCTGTGACGGAAGGGAAGAAGGAGTATGGCTTCCAGGTGACGACGGCAGATGTCAATGCGGGTGAGATGATAGAGATTGAGAGCTTAATTGTTCCGCAGCTGAAAAAGAAGCATACGGCGATGATCGAGGCAGTACTTGCAGGGAAGAAATAGGTGTGTTTGTCTTTCGCTGATGTTGATGTGTATGCAGCGACGTTATGTGTGGTTTCGATTGTAGGTTTCATTTTTTGGAAGCGTGGTGAGAATCGCTGTTTGACACCCACACCCCGTGATATATAAAGCCAGTAGACACCTGCTTTATTGCAATTTTCTAGTACTAGATATATTTACTGTATAGCTGCATATCGAATTACATTCATAGAAGGATGATCCATACAAAGTTAAAAGTCGAGCTATATTTTAATAATCCTTGTAGTACCAAGGAACTTAAAACAACAAGATTTACCTTCATTCAGTAGAGTAGATGAATAATATATTGCAATCAGAGAATATCAGATCTGTAGAGAAATTGTGATAGAAGTTGATGAAATTTGTTAAAAGATGTGTGAAACATGTTGTTTTCCAAGAACTGACAGAATTTTCGAATAGTTACGCTAAGGGCGCATCTTCTCAACACCTCCAGGCTGGTATTTTCCCTGGTGTTTTGTTCAGTGAATTTTTACAAGGACGCGGGAAATTCTGTAAGAAATCTGATGTTCCTGTATAATGGAAGATAGCCTAATAGTATCAGATTATGGCGCATTCATAGCCAATCCCAGATATTGTGGCGGACGTATTGCTTGCGAAGTTGCGAAAACAGAATTTTCGCAGCACCCCCTGAAAATTAGTAGCAAAACACTACTTGTCTTGACACACTCTTTGTAAAAGAACTTAGTCTTAGAATCTTCAATTATGACTTCAGTATGAAGATTCTTGATCATAGTAATTATAGTATCAGTGTGAATATATTCAAGATTGTAATGTTAATTTAAAAGAGTTTTTGATATCTTTAATATCTATCTGTGTTTTCATGTCTGCAGAATTAATATTATCAATAATAGTAACAGCAGTCACAGGAAAATCAACTTTTGAGTCAAAATTGTACTTGTAAGGCATCACAATATACTTAACTGCTTTGCTTAAATAATTAGAATTCTCATTGAACTTCTATTCAGTGATCTTATATATATTGTTCTAAGCAGTCTGAATTGTATGAAAAATGACATTATTCAGAGTTCTGTAAATGAAAAAAGAGAGAATAGTGAAAGAGAATGTAAATCAGAACTTCTGATCTTCAAGCTTTTTAAATAAGATCAGATTAACTGTAATATTGAAAATATAGTGAACATTCTTCAAGTTAATATTCTCATTCTCAATCTTCAAGATAACAGTCTCAATCTTCTTGACAAACTCTGTTCTCTCAGTCACAGAATTGACAGTGATGATATTATTAAAAGATTTAACATTTGAAAAAGAATGAAGCTCATTTATTATATTCAGACTTATACATGTGTTTAAATATAAAGATCTAGAGAATTGTTTTTCAGTAACTGTGAAAGAGAAATAGAACTTAATATTTGTAATTACTGTATTTACTGATAATTAAGAACTAATTAAGTCATTCTTCTTCTTCTTCTTTTTATCATTATTCTTCTTGTTCTTTCTCTTTCTCTTTTTATCAGAGTGTAAGATGAAATATCTGTCAACTGTATATTTATTCTTTTTTGTAGTGAATACACTTCTGTATATCTGTGTCTTTATTCTTGCCTTTGTTCTTCTTTACAGTCACAGAATCAGTGTGAGCCTGCTTTTTAATTCACTAATAATCTTCTTAAATGTATAATTAATCAGTTACTTTATTAAATTATTGATATTAATATTGACAATGAGTTCTTAATCAGTGAAGAAACACTTAGTCAGATATATCTTAATAAATAGTCTTTGATAATTATATAAATTGTTAAGAAAAAGATTATAATATTTATATTCAGTACTCTAACAGAGCTTTTTATAATAAGTAATAAGATAGTGAAAATGTCTCTGAAAAGTAAGATAATCACTGTTCTTAATCTGTAATCTCATTAATTTCTTGAAAATGTTAACATGTTCTTCAGTTAGTGATGTAGTGTATTTAATATTAATCTTGTTTTATAGAGCTGTAGTATTGTCAGCTTCTAAGATTTCAATAGTAGATTAAATACTACTAATAAGACTTAATATCATATATCTATATAGAGACTTGAAATAAATCTTTCACTTCTCAGAATTAATATAATATGTAAAAGAAGATTCTTATTAAGTCTTCAATAGAATGTTAGTTATATTAATAATCTCTGTATTAATTCACATACTGACATGTTAGACTTTATAATTAGAACTGATAAATGTAATCATTAATTTAATATCTAGAGTATATTTTACTTTCTTCTAATATTTCTATAACTCATCTCTTATAGTATTGTTTAAGCTTTGTACAGAGATAGATGTAGTAAGATATTATGTAATTTCAGTTACAGTGAGTTGATTCTGAAGTATTATCTGTATAGAATTTATAAAATTACCTGTAATACAATAAATAAGTGAATTCAGATTATTATTCTTATTATTATTCTTCTTCTTTCATTATACTTATATACAAGTGAAGCTTATGATGAGTTCTTATGTGATGTTAAATACAGGTCAAGTGTTGATTATACAGGAGAAAATACAGGTGTTAAGACTATATCAAGATAACAAGAACATAGGAAAATACAAAGAAGTGACAATTAGATACATGTGATAATAACTTCTCAGCTCAGAAACATAGAGCAATTTATTAAAGTGATTTGTACACCTCTGTATTTATTAGCAATCTGAGGTGCTCGAGTTCTGGATTTAATGTATCCCCTGCGGGTTTCGAACCCACACACCTTGATTTCCCACACCAAGGCGCTACTGAGTGGCCGCATTAACTATTCGGTCACCGGGGCTCAGATTATCATTAAAAGTTAGCATTCTGAAGAAGATAAATAACGAAGAATTTATTAAGTGAAAATAAACAGATTCTGCACATGAATATAAATGTTAATACTACTTTTCTTTATTCTGAAGTATTTCTATTATCTTATCATTGAATTCTATACTCAGATAAAAACTAACATCACTCTTATCTTATAACTCAGAATTCTTCTCATAATAAGTAATTATTCTATTAATAAGTTATCTAGTAGAACAGATAGTTCTGAGTCTTGAGCTAAACTCTGAAGTAACAGATATATTACTCATATTAAGATGACTCTGCTTCTTCTAGATATTTAAAAATGAGTAACATTCTTCACAATGAAGAATATGTTTTTGAAAAGAATATAAATCTACTGACTGATAAATTTAGAGAAAATGAAATATCTCTAGTAAAAAGTAAGAGTCTTTCTGAAAAAGATAAATAACTTTTATAAAAATATTGATACAATATTTCTTAAAAAAGAAAAATGTACTATTCATACTATAATCTGTAGAATAGTTAAAGATTGTATTCATATATCTATCTACAAAGAGCTTAATATAGTGATTAATTATAAAATACCTGAGCTTTCATCTTACTATAAGAAGAATCTCATAATAGATTTATAGAAGAGTAGAAACTCTTCTAAGAATCAATTTATAAGCTCTTTTATTATAAGACAGAACTTCTGCAGACTTATATAAAGAAGAATCTGAAGAATAACTATATCTGATCTTCACAGATCTATGCAGAAGCCTCTGTAATATTTATATAAAAGAAGAATAAAAATCTCAGATTATATATGAATTATTATAATTTAAACTCTAAGACTATAAAAAGTTACTACTTTCTATCTCTAATTCAGAATGTGATTAACTATCTCACAGAAGCTATTATATTCATATAACTGAATATAATTAATATATATATACAGCTGTGAATACAGTCTGATAATGAATAAAAGACTGTCTTTAAAACTATGCTGAGATTTTTTAAATATTTAGTGATAACTTTTGAGTTGATAAATCTCTCTGCAGTACTTCAGTCTTTCATTAATGAAATACTTTATATATATATAAATGTCTTTATAATAATATATCTGAATGATGTGATAATGTACTCTATAAAGAAGAAAGAATATACTGAGTATATATAAACTGTGATAAAGATCTTGAATGAGACAGAACTGCATATTAAGCTTATAAAGTATAACTTCAGTGCTTATTAGATTAATGTTCTAGAATATGTAATTACTGCAGATAATATTCAGATAAAATCTTTATATATTAAGACTATTCTATTATAACTGAAGTTAACTAGTATTTATAAAACTCAGATCTTTCTGAGTTTTGTGAATTTCTACAGATAGTTTATCTTTATATGTATAAGAATCTTCTTAACTCTTACAGATATGCTGCAGAGTGAAAATAAAAAGAAGTTATTTTATAAATAAAGAATAAAAAGATTGTTAAGAAGAGAGAGTTGTAAGTAGACTGATCACTGAGATCATAAATTTCATATTTAATTTCATTTGATCTGGTCTCATACATTTCATAGCATGAATGCCGCTGAGACTAGTCATTAAACAACATGTAAAGTGACTATATATCAGATCTGAAAATGAAATCATGACTTGAAAAAAATAAGAAAGTGATCTCATTTAATTCCATTTAATCTCATTCTTAGAATAAAGTTACTATTTTTAGACATTTTAAGGTTTTTTTAGACTATTTTTAATTTTTTAAAAAGTAATGCTTTTTGATAACACTCAAATAAGATTTAAAGTCATTTAAAGCAATAAAAATAATTAAAATTGAGAACTGGAAATTATGATCTCATTGAAAAAATATAATAAGAGTAGACAGTAAGTCTCACTGAGACAGTATGAGACTACTATCTAATGTTAAAACCGTGTAATGAGATCAGTTGAATTGATAATGAAACTATCAAAAAATCTGATTCTGATCTCAGACACGGTTACACAGTCAGTCTAGTTGTAAGAACTTTCTTATTTTAAAAGATCACAGAGTCTTTATAAGATTGAAGTAGATATTTCTAGATACAGTGATACTATTTCACTTTAATTTCTTACTCTTAATCTGATTAAAGACAGATATTTTCTTCTTTACAATTTCAGAAATAGTCTCATAACTATAGTTAAATGAGAACTGAGTTTCAGTAGTCTTTTTCTTATAAAAGATGCAATCTATGAAGATTAACTATAATATTCATAATTAGATGCTTCTTATAATAGTAAAATTCTTCTATTACTGATATTACTACTTCAAGTATCTTATAATAGTAATTACTAGTAAAACTGATTATAATAGCTTATAAGAGTTTATCTTAATTAAGAAACTTTTACAGTGACAGATTAACTAAGCTCAGAAACTGAGTGAATTCTGATTTAAGATAGAGTATATTTTCAGAGAATTAAGAACTTAGTGAGCAGACTCTCTTACAGATCTAACTAT